AGCCAAGTAGCTAAAAGTGTCAAAAACTAATCAGCATATCTCTCAATAGGAATCGTGGACGAGAAATTGTATCCATACATACATACACACACACACATTAATTTTTTTCGAGGTATGCCAAAATGTTCAGAAACTTTCATAAGGTGAAGATATGCAAAAAAAATCAATCTCGAAAAGCTAAAAGCGCGCTTTCTAAGAAATATGGATTATACTCTTCTTTTATCTATAAATATGGAACTATTATTTAGAATGAGGACGATAATGGAGAAATTCATAACTAATGCTATTGTAAGGACAAAAGTCACCAGTATTTTTATTTTTAGTTATTTCTCTTGTTTGAAAATTTTACTATAGTTGGCGCTACTATCATATGCACATACCGATTTTAACCTATAAAACCTATTTTTACATCGTATGTTCGCCACGCAAGTTTCGTGTGCGTGTAGTTTTAATAGCAGAATTTAGCTTTTCGTTGTATTTATAAATATTTATTGTGAATAAAATGACTTTAAAACTTGAATGTTCTAAGAGCAGTCCGCCAATATCCGTATTGGCAGTTATAGATTTAATTAAAGGAACCCATCCGGTGGAAATTGATTGGGGAAAGAATTATAAATTGACAATTAATAACGCAATTTTAGATATTCATACTGACAACGATGCTTGCAGAGCCCTAGCCACCGCGGCTCCACAATACGAACTGTACGGCCGAACAGCTGTTGAGTATGCACAAACAGATCATTTTTTGACATTTGCTTTAACGTTGAAGGATGATTTAACTAACAACTTGCAATATTTAGACAAGACGTTGACATCTGTTACTTATCTTGTAGCTAACAAACTCACAATAGCTGATTTGGTTGTTTTTTCCTGCTTGCGCGATGAGTGGCAGTCAATATCTAAAAAGCCTGTACCCGATAATATTACCAGGTGGTTCAATTTAATAAAAGCTCAAGACTGTGTCAAATATGCTATGTCATTTGTGAGCAATGAGGTTGATTCAAAAGCTTCAAAAAATACTAAAAATCAAAGTAATGATACAGTTCAACAAGAAGGTAAGTTTGTGGATTTACCTGGTGCCGAAATGGGTAAAGTCGTGGTTCGATTTCCCCCAGAAGCTTCAGGCTATCTCCACATAGGTCATGCAAAAGCAGCCCTGCTCAATCAATATTATCAACAAGCTTTCCAAGGAAAATTAATAATGAGATTTGATGATACCAATCCCGCCAAAGAAAATGTTCACTTTGAGCAAGTTATTTTAGAGGATTTGGAAATGTTACAAATTAAACCAGATTTGTTCACGCACACCTCGCAATATTTTGATTTGATGCTACAATACTGTGAACAACTTATTAAATCTGAAAAGGCTTATGTAGATGATACAGAACCAAAAAATGAAAGCTGAACGAGAAGAAAAAGTTGAATCTGCAAATAGAATAATAGTATAGATAAAAATATGAAGATGTGGTCTGAAATGATTAATGGTACTGAATATGGCCAAAAGTGTTGTGTGCGTGCTAAAATAGATATGTCTTCTGCAAATGGCTGTCTCAGAGATCCAACAATATACAGGTGCAAAAATGAACCTCATCCGCGCACAGGAACAAAGTACAAAGTTTATCCAACATATGATTTTGCATGCCCAATAGTAGATGCTATTGAAGGCGTGACACACACATTGAGAACCATGGAATATCATGATAGAGATGAGCAGTTTTATTGGTTTATAGAGGCTTTGGGTTTGAGAAGGCCCCACATTTGGGAATACTCAAGATTGAGCATGACTAATACAGTTTTATCAAAACGTAAACTTACATGGTTTGTAGAGCAGGGTTTAGTTGATGGCTGGGATGATGCCAGATTTCCTACTGTCCGAGGTGTTCTTCGCAGAGGAATGACTGTTGAGGGCTTAAAACAGTTCATTATTTCTCAAGGTTCTAGTCGAAATGTTGTCTTTATGGAATGGGATAAAATATGGGCTGTTAATAAAAAAGTTATAGATCCAATAGCACCACGATACACTGCTTTGGAAATGGATACAGTTCCTGTTAATGTAAAAAATATTACAAGTGATGTATCTCAAACTGTGAATGTCCATCCAAAAGACCCAGCAATCGGTACTAAAATTGTATGGACAGGTTCAAAAATTTTAATAGACCGCGTAGATGCTGAACTACTTAAAGAAGGTGAGAATGCCACATTTATAAACTGGGGTAATCTTTTAGTTGATAAAATTAATAAAGACAGCAATGGAAAAATTTTATCTATTGATGTAACACCTAATCTTGATAATAAAGATTTTAAGAAAACTTTGAAGTTAACTTGGTTGTGTGACACAGTAAATGCCCCATTCACAAAAACATGCTGTGTTTACTTTGAGCATATAATAAGCAAACCTTTGCTTGGAAAAGATGAAGACTTCAAGCAATACATTAATCAAAATACCCGAAAAGAAGTTGAAATGATAGGAGACCCAGAATTAAGAAATCTCAAGGCTGGTGATATAATACAATTACAAAGAAGAGGTTTCTTTAGAGTAGATGTACCTTATGCGCCTGCAAATGAATTTACTTGCAAGGAGCAAGCAATTGTATTGTTTTATATTCCTGATGGCCATAGCAAGGAACCTGTTGCTGCAGTGGTAAAGCCAGCAAAATCTAAAGCCCCAAAGAAATCAAAAGAACCTGCAGCAGAGAAATCCCAAACAGTGGCTGGTGCAGAGCCAAGTTCTGGTATAAATTTTGAAGCTTCCATAGACCCTCCGAGTGTTAATGACTTATCTGTTGTTAAAGCTCCTAAACAAGCAAAGAGCCAGAATAAGCCTGAAAAATCAGCAGCAAAGACCAACAAGAAAGATAATAAATCAGAGCCAAAAGAATCAAACAAAAAGACAAATGAAAAGCAATCAAATGTGAAAAAACAAACACGTTTAGGCCTAGAGGCTCAAAAAGAAACTGATTTACCAGGATGGTATTCACAAATTATAACTAAAGGTGAAATGATTGAATATTATGATGTCTCTGGTTGTTATATTCTACGACCATGGTCTTATGCAATTTGGGATATGATCAAAGATTTTCTAGATGGAGAAATAAAAAAGCTAGGAGTAAAAAATTGTTATTTTCCAATATTTGTCTCAAAAAGTGTACTAGAAAAAGAGAAGGAGCATGTGGCTGATTTTGCACCCGAAGTGGCTTGGGTAACTAAATCTGGAGATTCAGATTTGGCAGAGCCTGTAGCCATTCGACCAACTTCAGAAACTGTTATGTATCCAGCTTTTGCAAAATGGATTCAGTCTTACAGGGATTTACCAGTAAAATTGAATCAGTGGAACAATATCGTACGATGGGAATTTAAACATCCACAGCCCTTCTTGAGAACCAGAGAATTTCTGTGGCAGGAAGGTCACACAGCCTATGCATCAAAAGATGATGCAGATAAAGAAGTATTACAAATTCTGGATATTTATGCTCGTGTTTATTCTGAACTTTTAGCAATACCAGTAGTTAAAGGTCGTAAAACGGAAAAGGAAAAATTTGCAGGTGGAGACTATACAACTACTGTGGAAGCATTTATAAGTGCAAGTGGGAGGGCTATTCAAGGTGCTACAAGCCACCACTTGGGTCAAAACTTTTCTAAAATGTTTGATATTGTATATGAGGATCCTGAGACACAAGAAAAGAAATACGTTTTTCAAAATTCATGGGGTTTAACAACAAGAACAATTGGTGTCATGATTATGGTTCATGCAGATAATCAAGGCCTGGTTCTTCCACCTCATGTAGCAAGTTTGCAGGCAATAATAGTTCCTTGTGGAATTACAGCTAGTACAAGTGAAGAGGATAAAGATAATTTATTGAAAAGTTGTAGTTGCTTGGAACAAAATTTGAATGATGCTAAAGTTAGAGCTGAAGGTGATTACAGAATGAATTATAGCCCTGGCTGGAAATTCAACCATTGGGAACTTAAAGGTGTTCCGCTTAGGGTTGAGCTTGGTCCAAAAGATATCAAGAATGAACAAGTGGTTGTGGTTAGAAGAGACACTGGAGAAAAAATTACATTTTCCCAGAAGGAAGCTATTAAAAATATAAAAGAATTGTTAGAAGTTATTCACAAAAGCATGTTGGAAAAGGCTACAAAGGAATTGAATGAACATAAGGTAGTTTGCCATGAATGGAGTAAATTCTTGGAAGAACTGGAGAGGAAGAACATAATACTTGCACCATTTTGTGGTAGTATTCCATGTGAAGATAAAATCAAAGCTGATAGTGCCAGGGATGATGACACTGAAACTAATGCTCCATCAATGGGCGCTAAATCATTGTGCATACCTTTTGAACAACCTGCCAAAATTACCTCTGATGACAAATGCATCAATCCCAAATGTAGCAACAAGCCAAATGCTTATACATTATTTGGAAGAAGTTATTAATTCAAAATATTCTATCATCATCTATTTATTACATTTGATATTATAATCATTTACATTAAATACAGTGTTTTAAAATAAATAATATCATATGTTATTACTTAGTAGAAAAATAAATTACATTTTATATACAAATTTTTTATTTATTACGACATTTTTTATTTAAAAATGGTCTTTGGACTTCAATAATGTTCAAATACGTTATTCAATGCAGTTGTCATTGTCCGCTTATCAGAATTTTAAAAAATATTATAAGTTCATTTAGTACATTCTCATCAGTGTAAAACTCATTTTTTCTTTTACGAATCATTATTATTTCTTCAAAAATTAAGTTAGATAGACTTCGGAAACCATTGTATATTATCTGGAATAAACGGTTCTTAACCTTCAAAACGAGGGTTAAAAACAATATCAGTTATGCAAAATAATGCTTAATTTCTACTCTTTAGAATACTATGCAGAAAATGGCAACTAGTTCTTTAGGCAATTTAAGTTAACATAATAATTGTAACCAAAATTAAGTTACCGAAAAATTATATTTATTAATATCAATAAGGATGGCACTTATCGATCATGCAACCACATTTATTTTTTTTGGATGGTATTTGCTATAGTATAAAATCATAAAACATATTCCTAAAACGTATGGAATGATACTCATCACAATTATACCAAAATAAATATGTTTTGGATGAAAATTCTCTTCCACATACACAGCATATATGGATACACAAATAATCGTTTCAATAAAACATGTTGTGTAGTAGAATGAATATCTGAAATTAAATTCACATAAAAATTAAAATTTTATAAAGTTTGTCATTACTTTCATAATACTTGCAGCACTAACTTTTTGGCAGTTCTTCCATCATTAGACATTATGTAAGTAAATAAGTACACTAAACCCAAAACACCCGAAAATAAAAAAGTATGGAACAGAGTTTTGCCACAAAAAGGAGATCGGTCAAAGCAAAATATCCACAGGGTCATAAAACTGCAATGAACAAAGCATCCCACTATTGTTTTGAGGGGAAATATAGTTGCAGCAGCAGACAATGATAATACTCGAGAAACTGTGAAATAATCATAATTAATTATAATCATATATATTGTTGAGAACTAGTTATGTTATAAGTGATATATATGTAGAAACTATTTAAAAATACCAGATCCCATATTTAAGTAAGGCAGTGATAGCTTGGGGGTTGTTCTTTTTTTATTTTTCTTTGTTTCGGTTTTGAGATTTTTTGATATTATGAAAGATAAAAACCTTAGAATCATTTAAAAAAAAATCATCTCAATATCTATTTTTTTGACGAAGTTATAGATATATATATCTCTGTATGTATGATCCTCTGAAAGCGTTTTTTTATCGCTCCGCGAGCTATTGTATGCCAGATTCCTCTTTTTCATTATAATACCTCATGCACATGACCTTTTAAATGTGTCAGCATCTTTGAACACCATGGTGTATTTAGTACATTAAATTAAATGGTGTATTCAGTACATTATATTAAGAACTTTAAATACGTTTTTCTCAAATTGACTTTTTTCAATGCGGTGCCACAAATTAAACAAAAACTACAAGTCGGATCGACTTGCATTTTTTTTTAATTTGTTCACCACTGCAATACCGAGTCCCCCTACCTCAAACAACTTGATAACATAACGCAAAAAAAATTTGCGAAGCTTCTCGCCCCAAAAAAAGGCCTTTTTTGACACTTTTTTTTAAATTCCTGCCATTTTTTTCCTTCTTGCTTTTTTTCTTTCATTTTGGTAGGGGGACTGGAAACAAACTTCTTCTTAAACGTAATTTCTTTTTTTTTGAAGTAAAACTTCTTTAGGCGCGATATGGGTGTAAAAATTTCTTTAGGCTACACGGGTGTAAATCCGTACAAATGCAACGAAAACGCCAACGTGAAGTTGCACACTACGACGCCGTAAGCGCTGATGTCGCGAGTATCCACTCCCGTCATGTCATGCGTAAGTCGAGCGCTAAACCCTATATGAACTTGCATTAATTGAATCACGTTTTTTTTTACAAAAGAAGAGGTTGCTGTATTATGTCCTCATGGAATAAGACTTTTCTTAGAGAATAAATGTGTCATGGAATATAATAAATTTATATTGAATCGTTGAAGACAAAATAATATCTACTGCCACGGATATTTGTGTAGGTTGCCATGCGACAGATCAACAATCATACATTCGTCAGCAGTTTCACAAAAATCGGTTATGAAATAATTTTAGTTCTGAATAATTTTAGTTCTGAATAAATTTTACATAATAACAACTAATATTGATGTAAGTGATGGCTTAGCTAATGGTTGTGTAGGAAAATTAGTGTACATAGAACGTGGCGCTAATGATGAACTTCTAGGTTTATGGTTTGAATTTCCTTGTAAGATAGGTAACAAAATAAGAAGAAAGCTGCACATCATATTCAAACTCTTAATATCAGTAGGACAGCTGTGCCGATTCTCAGGAAATCATATTTGTCAAAAGAAATCATTTTCCTTTAGTGTCTGCTTGTGCACTCACAATACACAAATCACAATGTGGTACTTTTGATAAAATTGTATATGAATACAATAAAACACATAATCAGCAGCTTCTATATGTTGCATTATCACGAGTTACCAGCATTAATGGATTGTTCATCATTTCTAAAACAACGACAAAAAAATTTATAATGGAAGAAAACGGCCAGCAGGATTAATGGACTTAAAAACTGAATTCCAAAGACTTTCAACTTGTAGATTAATAACACAAGAAGAAAAATTGAGTGAGATAATAAGTTTGAACGACATTTCATTGTTTTCCTTTAACTGCCAAAGTTTACGAGCTCATTTGCCTGATCTGCAAGATAAAGTGCTACAACGTTGTACGTTTTTGTTATTTTCGGAAACTTGGATTAATAATGAAGAACGAATTAATATTCAGAACTATTACTGCGTTACTCAATACAAACGATCAAACTCAAGAGCAGGTGGTGTAGCTGTCTAATGTCTATCATTCATGTTCAGATACTGTTCATAATGCCACTCCTATGCAGTTTCTTGCGCCAACGATATTACTGGATATTCCTAATGAAATTACACAAGTAGGTGATATTACACACACAGAATCAAACATTAATTATAGTCGTCCTTTAAATTTCTCCCAATAAAAACATATCAAATATTATTGAATTTCTTCATCAGCAGTTACTTCATTTTTCTAATGAGGGTGCAAAACTTTTAAACACTAATCACAACGAGATACCATTAATTCTTGCTGGAGATTTCAATGTCAATTTTCGTTCAGAAGAATCTCAACCATTAATTGATTTTTTAAATAATAAATTTAATTTAACAATGAATAATTCTCCATTTGAATCAACCACAAGATATGGCACGACTATTGATGCAGTTTTCTCCAGAAATGTACATAGTTTACAAAGCAAAATTTATGTCTCTCATTTCAGTTATCACAAACCTATTATATCATATATGAAATATGGTAGCAATTAATCTATCGCTGTTGTTTTAAACTGTGTTATTGATGTTATGTGATTATTAATAAATGATTTTTAAAATTCAAATATGATGTTTTTTTTATTTTTATCTTAATTGCCTACTCATACAATATTAAAAGTTTTACTTCAATCGCGTGTGATCCTTACGCGCACTCTTTTTTTGTTTCGGGCGATGCGCAACGGATTTATCTGTGGCACCGCAAAAGAGATCGATTTCGCAAGACCGACTTTGGCGCCCCCTGGTTAAAAAATGACGGCGCAAAAAAAAGAAGAAAATCACGTAACATTCAATGATTTTGTAATTTATGTTTAAAAAAAACCGCATGTCTCTATGATAAATACATTTCGAGAAAAAACAAAAACAAATACCTTGCATTTTTTGTAACAAAAAAAGAACAACCCCCTTAAGTATAACAGGCCCATATTAATACTTAAAATCTTGTAAATTCGACCCTTATCGTAAATCAGGTACAATCGATCGATTTCTACTATATTGAACCGCCAAGACGTATAGATCAAATAAAATATGTGTGTGTATGAACAGATTTTTTACCGCAAATTGACGTTTTCTCAAAAACGGCTGGACCGATTTAAAAAATTTAAAAGCCAATCGATGTATCTCAATGAGAACTATCGTTTGTCAGTTTTGCGCTACGATCGGCCGAACCGTTTTTTTGTAAATGGCAAAGAAGTGAAAATTTTTTCGTCCACGTTTTAGTCCGCAATTCTGAATCGATATTGAAAATTCAAAAACCGTTCGAAAAATATAGGTTGGGAATCGACCTGATTAGTTTTTGGTAAAGATCGGCCTGCCGTTTTCTTGTAATAAAGCGTTAAAAAAAATTTTTTTTAACGATTTTTATTATTAATTTTTTGGCGGTAGATACTCTTATAGATCTTGCTAAAATATTACGACTCTACGATAATTCGTTTAACTTTAAAAGTTCGTCAAAGTTTGAAAAATTGATATCGTTTTTTTGGCATTTGTCAAAATAAGACCTTCCATCGGCGTTTGCTCAAAAACGTCTGAACCGATTTTAGAAATTTAAAAGCCATTTGATGTATCTCGATGAGGATTATCGTTTCTCAGTTTCGTGCGAGTATTTATAATAATCCATTTGAAAATATTTTGAACAATTGTTAATAATCAATTATCATTTATTATTTTTATTGCCCGAATGCCTAATTATGGTACACGAAGTTCCAGCAATTTGCCTCAAACAATAATGTCATGCACTACTTAGTTTATTAATTACAATGCTTAATCTATTATCTTTATGAATATCTATTCAATACATAAAAGGCTCCATTAATCCATCCAAGGCTGCTCATTAATCCGTTATTTAAATGATTAAGAATTCATACAAAAATATTATTTAGAGAAATAAAATTGAGAATAATAAATTATTATTATATTGAAATACTGAATTTTATTTTGAACACAAAAATCAGTAATCTTACGAAATCAATTTAGATACGGTATAAAGTAAAACAAATAGCTGCTATTTTATAGCTGTATATAAGATATTCAAGTTATTTCATCAGTGATTTCATAAAATATCCTGAAACAATCAGAAATTTAAAAACGAAAGGTATTATTTGAGAATCGTACTGAAGAGTGTTTAGCAAACATCGGTTCTCAATAAAACTTAACATAGAAATACTTAAATATTATAGGCCAATAAGAAATGGTTAAATTGTACAAATGCATCAAAGTTTGTAATTAAAAGTCGCGATTTGGAATGTATAAGTGCGTGTTTGTGCACTGTAATTAAAACAATTACATATATTTTAAGTTTGTTTGAAAAATATTAATTGGAAATTGCATTGATTAGATTTTAGTAATAGCATTTTATCTAAATAGCTAAATCTTAATTCTTGTTAATTATGTCAATTATATACAAATGCTAGTTTATCTTTTGATAAATGTACAGCTTCATTTTTATACTAAAATCTTATATTATTTATTTGTCGAACATATATATGTATATTTTCATTCATAAAAATTATTTTTATGGAAAAATACATATTGAATAAGTATATAAAAGGATAAGGATTAATTTTTAACAAAATCAAAAATAAAAACTCACATGTTATACAAAAGTGCCACATAAATTGAACGCCTGTTCCACACCATGTAATGTTATGTTTATCATATTGTGCAAAACGAATAGCTCGATGATATCCTGCAATGCTCCAGACTATGCCCAGAAATGAAGAAATAATTGATACAATTTGTAAAACTTTCCAACTTTCACTGTCTCGCAAAATAATTGTTAGCTGTAAAGCTAGTTGAGGAGCTGACTCAAGAAAACACTCAATTAAACGTAGTAATGATATGTCACTGTCTTCTTTTAACATATTTTCATATTGCAATTTCTAAAATTGTCAGAATACAACATAAAATAAATAACTTTGTAGCAATAAAATTCTTTATAATTTCATTAAGTTATTAATAAAAACTAAAATCTAATCTTAAAATAAAATTAGATTGAATCAGTACCTGTTCCTTTCTATCATTCTTTTTTTCAGCATGTCTACTTGCAAAAGCAAATTTAAGACTATCGCAGCAACGTGCTACTGTTGCTAATTGCAAAATATGCATAAATATCTGAAAAGCACCTAAACACCTACTTCCTTTGCTTTTAATAAGCAAGCATGGTGTTGAACGCTTTTGATTCAAATTATGGGCGTCTTCTGCATACCTAGAATATTTTAAAATAGTAGTATAGTAAATTCCGTAATATAATTTTAATACTAAGTAGATGATTACAAAGTTTTATCTTTTAAGATGATATAGAATACTAATTGTTGTGCCAAGCAATGATATTTGTCCTTTCGAACTTCAGGATGGTGTATATAAGTGCCAGATGGCACAACATAATATAATTTTTAGAACTTATGGTTTAATTTGGAATAAAATTGTAAGTATATAATTATTAGAAATTATGGTTCTAAATTATTTGTTAATTTTTGATAGTAAAATACTCACATAGTAAGTGAGATGCAGGTATTTATCACAGCTGGTACAGCAATAAAGACAACGGTCCAAGAAAAGTAGTCATAATTTGAATTTGAAAAATAATAACATGCTAAATAAATATCTACTCCAGCATCTACTAAGTGTGCAATAATAGAGTATATCAAACCGATTATATCTAAATTAGTAACAGAAAAATTGGATGGAGTACTGTCCACATCTTCCGTTCCACACCATTCCAAATTGGTGTCATATATTACTCTCATTGTCATAAATTACCATCGCCATTCAACGATTTAAGCCTCTCATAGCAAACTATTAAATATCTACTTTGCCTCATTTACGTAGGCTACGTTCTCTCAGAACATATTATTGAAAATGTAAACATAACAAAAAAAAAATTAAATGCATATTGTCAATACAACATGAATTCCTCCTTTTATCTATGAATTCAAACTAGTACAAAAATAAAAATAATTAAAGGAATTAATAATGCAAGTCAATAAAATTGAAAAATATATAGCGACAATCATCGCTTAAGGACAAGCCAATAAAACTGTCATTCGATTATTATATTGTCCAGACTCGATACACTGTGAGCCAATAACCAAGGTTTTTTGGCTCTTATGGTCACTCTCAGTCTCTCAGTCTAGAGTTCTAGTTCTACCCCCCAGAACACCTAGTTAAAATAATAAGGGGGTCTAAACTAAAATGTACTGTTCGAATACTTTCTGTACATTTACAATTTCAATCATCTGTCATTTTTGCTTTGCATGTGCGAGTTGAAGTTGGCGCAAACTGAAGTTTCGTCGCCATGACTACAGACTGCACCGCAAGTGTATTGAACGTTAATATTTGAATAATTGAATTCATTGATTAAAATGTATTTTAGATTTGCTGAATGAAAAAATATTTTTGAAGAGTAGAAAAGATATAGTATAATACATATAAAAAATTGAATTATTTAAAATTATTGTGACCATATATTTTTTTTTACTAAAACCAGGTAACTTATAGTTAAGCAAACCCGTGACGGAGGCGAAGCTATTTACGCTAAATTACTTAAGGGGTTACACGGGTTTTACGGTTTCCAAAAAAACGAACTTTCTTATTGAATTCTATAACATCTCTAGAATATTGTCCTAAATTTTCAAGTTGATCCGACAAATAGTTTCGGAGATACAACCTTGAAAAGGTGGACGCTCAAGGTCCACCTTTATTGTCTCTTTAAACTTCAAACGCGTTTTTCTCAAAACTATTGTCTAGATTTTCCGCGAACTACTCAACCGATCTTGATGAAATTTTACACCGGTATTCGAGATATCATTTACAAGGTTTTAAACGGATTTTTTTTAATTACAACTATTAAAATTTTTTCAAAAAAACGTCTGCCAAAAATCAAATTTTCATTTTTTTTCTTTTTTCCTGCGTCCAATACCTAGTTTATTGTCTTTACTAAAACACATATTTTTTATTTTTATTTCGAATGATCCTGAAAGAAGTTCTGCTGACAACGCGGAGGCATCTTTCTTCTGAGGGACTGCCGGAAATGGCTTCGTAATGACCGCCATTTTGATATATTTTTTTGAAAATTTTACAAAATGTTTATTAAATATAAAATTAAAAAAAAATCATTAAAATGTTTCATTTTTCATATGTTAAAAAAATTATTGAAAAAAGGCTGTTTTTTGCACGAAGAAACCCATTCAACCCCATAAAAATGATTCAAAATAACAAATACGTATTTTTGTAAATAAAATTGTAAAATGCTATTTAAAGATATAATAAAATCAGTTTTTTTTTTTCAAGTTAAAAAAAAAACATTTTATTTAAATCGGATTTAGTAAGATTGAGTGCAAAACTTTATATTTTTTGTATGTTTTTGTCGCTTTTAAGCCTTGTTAAAATTCTAATTTACTTGTGCCACGCAATCAGAAACATGCTAGAATGTTTGTTTTCGTAATTTTTCTGCATTTTCGCAAATTTGGAAAAAACAGGTCTAAACTCTAAATTTTTAAAGTGAGATGTTATTTTGCAGTCAGCAATGTTTTATGCTTAGATAAACAAGTATAAATGGTTTTATGCATTTCCATGGAATGCAGATACTTATAAAGTGTTATTGATAATCATATCATCGAGTGATAAACCTGATTTATAGTAAATGGACCATACTTCTGAAATATTCGGTACAAGGGACAAAAAACTTGAAACCGGGACAATTATTGTGAAAAATCTGGACGCATTTGCGCATGGGACTGTCCAGGCCAAACCGTGACTTAGTCACCTCATTTAGATCTATAGTCATATATGTATATGAAAGTGGCTCATTACTGCCAATATCCTCGTGATCCTGGTTGTAAAATATAACATAATCAATCGCAATGTTATGATCTAAAATACAGACAACTCATATCCAAAAACAATAATCGAATTGATGCCCTTTGCAGCTACTTTAGCTATATATAAATTTGAACAACTGTTTAATTCCAAAATATAGCTTATTATTACTAGAAAGTAATCAATTCGATATCCAATTGCAATTTTCAGACAAAAACTATATCTGTAATTGTATTAATTAGGTATATAGTGAGCATAAGACTCGATTTCTTAATATTAATGAATTTTTGTAATTAAACTATCACCTTTTGAAGACCTATAATATTTTAGGATGATCGTTAAGATTACGAACTTTAAAATCATACAAAGCTTCATTTAATTTGTGCAATTCTTCAAAGAAACGGCCTACTGAATCTTTACTAAAAGCTAATCACAATGTTTCTCATCAGAATTTTTGATTAATACATGCATACTTTCTTGGATTTTGTCTTCAAGAAAACAAAAACTAGTTAATTGGATTTTCTGGAAATCAAAAACATCAAACTTCACCTTTTATAAAATTTAAAAAAACATAGAAACAAAATTTGCAAAATAAAACACATGAAAGTGTACAATAAAAAGGAAACCGGGCACTGCTCTAACGCTAATAATTTGCTTTTAAGCAAACATTTATGAACTGTTGCATCTCTAGATGAAAATGACCCATCAATCATGTTAGATATTATTACTAATAAATCATCAACATTGCACTTGTAACATTAATTGCACATTAATGAAAGTTACTCTCAAATTATTTAATTAGTGGATGAAATTGGCTTTATATTTTTCGTCATCCAAATATATATATATATGTACATATCAAATAGGTATGTAATTTTTTTTTAAATGTTTTTTATAGTATATTACTTATCGAGATAATTTAATTATATATTAAAATTAAAATATTATATCAATATAATCAGGAATGATTTTCAAAATATCAAATATTTATATTTCAATAACAATTTATGCTTTCTTATATTCTATTCTTTCCACTTTTACTTCATTCGCCACTAATTGATAAACATATGTAACTACAGTGGAGCTTTGTATGTCCATTAGCACAAACGATGGAGTAGCATTTCTGAAAAAAAAAACTAAATTTAATTACAGAATCAAAGCACAATTGATTTTAATCAGAATATATAAATTATTAGAAAAAATTAAGATTAAAAAATTAGCAGAAACTTTTCCTGCCCAACTGTGAAAATCCACTTATAATTAAATAAGTACCATCATTCCATCAAAAATTATTTAAATTATTCTATTAAATGTGTTATTATTTTTACAAATTGGTTTGGTTTACAAATTGGTAATGCATAATGCATTACTTATAGTTTGAAGTTTCATTAAGCTTTTTGCAAAACCTGCAAACTTTAAGTAATGCAAACGCTTTATTCAAAAGGTAGGCGCTTCTGTTACTAGTTACGAAGTTTATATATCTTATATATAAAATCCTTCTGTAATGATGTATGAAAAAATAATCCTCCTAAACGATTATTCAGATTTTGATAAATCTTTCTGAAGTTTAAGGGATTTGTTTAGGATTTTTTGAATTACAGAACATAGAAAAAAAAATGGCATGCAGGTGCCGAGGACTCTAGGAACAATTGTTACCTCTGGTAACAATGTATATTAAATTATTGCTAAGATAAATGTAATTTAGATATCACAATTACTAAAAACCAGTTAAAATATGGTACAAGATGATAAAAATTATAGGCATCATTGTTGGAGCAATTATTTTGGGTAGAAAATCCAAGGTAATATTGTACATTTACCGCGGATACTCAATACTAATTTTTTTTTGAATTTGTAAAAAATTTGAATTTTAAAAAACTTCAATTTGCAATATAGTGTGAGAATTGAGACTCATTTTATTTAAAGCGGTTCTACATTTAACATCGCTAATATTGATATATATGCATTTTTGTTTAAAATGTAATTTAAAAACAATAATAATTATTTTTAAGTAAACGATAAATATTAGTATATAAAAACATTAGTAGAGGGCAACATCTGTCGGGTCATCTAGTATAAATATATAATCATATATATATATATATATATATATATATATATATATATATGTATGTATGTATATGTGTATATGTATATACATAATTGCTTAATGTTATAAAAAGTATAGACGGGCCAATATATGAAAATTAAAATAGAGTATGAGGACCAATATTTGCAAAGTGTCATGTTGTCATTTATTATTGAAATAATAAATTCTAAAGTCAATTTGGAATACATGAATTTATCAACATACGTTTCCAACATGTTATAAGCTCCTGTAGCAGAACCAGGATTAATATAAAATTTATTATCATGTTCATAAGCATCAAATTTATGTGTGTGCCCAGAAATTAATATATCAACATCTAGTTGTCTCTGAACTAGTGCTAAAGCCTCTGGATCCCCCCATGGTACAACCTGAAAATTACACAGATCAAAATAATCACAGTTTAAAATATTAATCTGAAAACAATTTCATACTTGATGTCCATGTGTTAAACCAATACGAAATTGTCCTACTGTTACTACTTTTTGCTCCGGATAGTTGAGATTCTATAAATAAAACTAAAATTAATAATATTGTTGTATTTCAAGTTCATATATAAGTAATTATGACACCTCATCAAAATCTCCTCTTACAACATGTACATCACTAGCTAAAGTTTTTAAATAATCATAGGATTCTTTAGTACATAAGTTGCCGGTGCACAATATATGTTGAATTCTACCAGGAATTAATAAGGCCTTAAACTTTGCTGGTAAGCTACTACACCGATGTGGGAAGTGCATATCCCCCAAAACTAGAACCAACTAAAATTAGATTATAGATTAAATTGTAAAACAAAATGAACTTTTTTTAAGGACAATGTTTAGGGACAATAATAACCATTTTGCCACTGTTGATTTATAACGTATGTAGATAACAGATACTAAACCTCACATGCAATTCATTTTCACGATTTAAATTAAATCAACTATTGTCAAATGAACGTCAAACAGTAGGGTATCCATATCGAACATCAAATAATACTACGTTATTACCTGATTAGACATTTCATCCTCCCTAAGATTTTCGCATTTTGTAACCCGTTAGATCTGTTATGC